ATCTATGAATGAGGGTTTTAGGGGAGTAAATCTGGATCCAACCTTAGCTAAATTACTAAAAGATGCTAACTGCCCTCTTTATCCTGGGTGTAAGAAATTTTCAAAGTTATCCTTCATTACGAAAATGACGAATAACGAAATGTTATTCGATAGTAGCGACAAATCAATTAACCTCGATTTGGATCTAATTAAGGATGCTTTACCAAATGGAGATAATCTCCCTAATTCTTATTATGAGGTGAAGAGGTACATTCATGACCTTGGGTTTGGTTATACCATTATAGATGCATGCCCTAACAACTGTTTCTTATTCCGAGGTCCTCTCCAGAATGAAAAGAGATGTCCCAAGTGTAAAAAATCTAGGTATAAACCAGGCAAAGGGAAGGATATTCCCATTATAACAGCTAGGTATTTTCCTATAAAGAATAGGCTACTTAGGCTATTCATGACAAAAGGAAATTGCCAAGGACATTTGGTGGCACAAAGAAAAACTAATTAATGACGACGTGCTTAGGAATCTAACGGATGTAGAAACATGGAAAAAAATTTATAGGGACCATAGTTGGTTTGCTGCCGATCCTAGAAATGTGTGACTTGCACTTCTGAGTGATGATTTCAATCCATTTGGGAACTTGAGTTCTAGTTACAGCTTTACAAACTTTTCAATTCATGTGTATTTAGAACCAATAATAGAAGCTTTACAAGAACTATGGAAGGATGGGGTGACAACTTATGATGCATATTCTCAACAAACTTTTCAATTACATTTTGTCTTGTTATGGACCATAAATGATTTTCCTGGTTATGGAATGTTGTCTGGCTAGAGTACTAAGGGAAAACTAGCAAGTTCTGCTTGTAATAGTGAGGCAGACTCCCTTCGTTTGAAATTTGGTAACAAAGAATGTTACATGGGTCATCGTAGATAGTTAGAAACAGATCACCCCTGGAGGAGAAGTAGGAAATTCAATGGAAAGGCATATTTTAGATAGAAGCCTAAAATTTTGTGTGGGAAGAAATACTCATCCAATTGAATTTGGCTTTAAATTTTCATGAAATAATCTGAGTCGCAAAAGGAAACGAAGTCATTCTACCCCCAATCTGAACTGGAAAACGAAAGCCGCACTCTGGAGGATGCCCTAATGGGAAAAAGATTGAGTTGGGGCATAACTTAGATGTTATGCATGTAGAGAAGAACATTAGTGAGAATGTTTTGGGAACATTGATGCATATTGAGGGGAAAATAAAAGATAGCATGAATGCCATATTGGATCTAGAGAGATTGGAAAAGAGCATTGGGTTAGTAGAGATGGCGTCAAACCGACTATAGCACAGGCCTGCTACTCCCTAACCGCTGCCAAGCAAATTCAGTTGTGTAACTGGTTACAAACCATTAAATTTCTGGATGCTTATGCATCCAATATCTCTCGATGTGTCACCAATGATGGGAAATTTGTTTATGGAATGAAGAGCCACGACCATCATGTCTTCTTACAACGACTCTTACCAGCTGGGACACAAGGGTTGTTGAAGAAAGAGGTCTATGTAATTCTATCCGAGTTAAGTCTATTTTTTCAAGAGTTGTGTGCTAAAACCATACCAAAATCTACTTTGAAAAAGTTGCAAATGAACTTAGTTCTCATACTTTGTAAGTTTGAGATGGTATATCCACCATCTTTCTTTGTCGTCATGATGCATCTAGCCATTCCTCTACCCCGTGAACTCGAGTTTTGTGGATCGATTCAGGTGGATGTATCCCGTGGAAATGTACTTAATTAGTACTAATTAGTTATCTTTTGATTCACTGTTCTATTTGAACTGATATAGATGAATTTTTTTTGTTTTTCTGCCTTTGCATATTTGTAGGTTTTTAGGCTCTATATAAAATCTTGTCAAAAATAGAGCTCTTCCTGAGGGGTCCATTGTTGAAAATTATATAGTGAAGGAGTGTTCTAATTTCTATGGTAGATACCTACAAGGGGAAGAGACACGAACAACCCGTTTTGAGAGAAACAATGAAGGGTGTCAAGTAATGGATTCTACTTGTTTTTCTATTTTTGCACACAAGACTAAACCATCAGGAGGGGTAACTTGTGTGACTCTAGCCCCATCTGACTTCAATAAGATTGAAAGATACATATTGAACAACTGTGAAGAGGTTGAAAAGTATTTCAAGTAAGTGGAAAAAGCAATCATAAAGTACATGTTTAATTACAAGACAAAATAAATAAATTATGACGTTGCAACTTGGTGTAGTATCTTTTCAGAGGAGAGCATGGCTAAAACTCCTAATATTAGTTTTCAAAGCATTGAAGAAAACTTTCCAAATTAGTTGAAATCATATGTAAGATCTGGTTCCATCTTTATAGGAGATAGATTCCTGATGTTTATCTATGCTTTGAAAACTTAAATTGGACATTAAGTTGTGTGCTGGTTTCTATTATCGTATAGGTCACGAGACTGTTCTTGGTTGGATAACTTCGAAAAAAATGATCCTCTTTATATTCTAGGTCTTCGTCCAGATGAGAGACTGACTAGACATAGTGGTATCATCATTAATGGGGTTCGTTATCAAGCTTATGAAACTAATAAAACACGTCGTACTCAGAGTAGTGGGGTTGTGGTCGAAGAACATAATGGTGTGAGTATTGACTTTTTTGGTGTGCTGGTGGAAATTTTAAAGCTAAGTATTGTTTTGGCTGCCATGTCTTCGTATTCAAATGTGATTAGTGGTATGTAGGAGATACTAGAAACAAAATAAGGTCAGATCGCTTTCTTACTAATGTCAATATATAACGAAAGTGGTATCAACATGATCCATATATATTAGCTAGTCAGGCCAATCAGGTATATTACATTGAAGATATGAAAGATGGTGGGAATTGGCGTATAGATCAAAAGGTGTCTCATAGGCATGTGTATAATGTTCATGAGATGGAAGCAAATGATATCACAGATCCGGTATATGATGATGATCCATTCAAACTAGATGGAAGCATCGACATAGATCCAATTGAATCGGGTGATGGAGACATCCAGCTTTTAAGTTTGTCAGATAAGGCCCCAATTACTATGCCAACAACATATTTTATTTATGAAAAACTTGCTCGAGAATGACAGTCTAATCCAACCAGCAGTGCACTTGGATGTAAGTGGAGATTCTGAAGAGGACATGGAGGAGGAGGAGGAGGACGACGACGACGACGACGACGACGAGGGGAATGAGGCAGAGGATGACATGGAAGAGGAGGAGGAGGACGAGGATGACATTGGATTTGACAGTGGAGAAGATGATAACAAAGTCCAGTTTTGCAATATATATGTCTTTATTGATGGTTTCTTTTGGTGTTTGAACTATTAATTTTCATACACGTATAGAACTCTTCATTCTTCTTGTTGTTCTAGTTAGGAATCGTTGTGGTAAGGTAGGTTCCCTCTCATTTTGGGTTTCGTAGTGTTGTCTGAGTGCAGAATCTTTCATCAACATCTTATTTCAGGTACCACTCCTGGTCCTAGTGGTGGTGGTCAACTAAGAAAGAAGGCTGATGTTAGACACTCAGCAGCAACAACTAGAACAACCAGAAGTACAGCCCAGTTGCACACCACACCAGCAGATGGCGCATTGTCATCTCAAAGTTTGAACCTTGAGGGGAATGTGATGAATGGTGAGGAAAGAAGCACTAGGATGCATCTTGAGGAAACAAACAGTACTGAGACGGCCCCCTCTACTCCCAATCCACCAAGTAAGTTTTCTCCATGTCTCTGGATGTAATTTGATTTGCTTACAGGGCATTGGACTTGTGTAACGTGATAATGATGACTACATAATTAGGTCGTAATAACGTGAAAAGGCTAAAGGGCTGGAGGTAGCTAAGATGACACGAGATGCCAGTAAGATTTCGGGGTTGGTAGTTGCTAGAGGAGCAAAAAAAGGTGTTGGCCGTAATGAGAGGATCTTTAAGATAGAAATAGGAGTTATATGTAAACTCATGGCTCCCATTGGTAGGTTCTATTGGTCAGATGTGATCTAGGAGCTAAAGCAACCACTTTTTGCCAAATTAGAGGTAAAACAAATCATCTACCTCTAATTGCATGCTTGCTGGTCAGTATCCTTCACTTTTCACACATTAACTTATTTTCACGACTGCAGAGTGAGTTTTATATCTCCATGACTAATGAAGCTATGAGGATAGCTGTGGATTATTCATTGTCTAAGCGATTCATTAACTTCAAGCATCATTATCATAAGCATTATCTGCGTTAGGAGCCGATGCCAATATTGCTCAATAGACCCCTCCTGAAAATGTGAAAATGGAGGAGTGGATAAAGTTGTATGAGCATTTTGTTTCTGATATGTTCAAGGTAAGTCATATGCCATGAAGAATAGATTGAGTGAGTATTTAATTGGTCAGTTTTGTTATCCTAGGTAAGATATGAATAAGGTGCTAATCAATGTTGTCTTATACGCTAAAGCAAATGTAAAGTGCTGCTAATAAGCGCAATAAAAGCATGCAGACTTATGCTCATACTAGAGGTGGCAAATCATGCAGCCAACGAATGTATGAAATGGTAAGGTTACTCCTCTATTCTATTTCCAATACCAAAATGCACCTTACTAACATTCTATAATTTGGATTGCTAATAGGAAACAACCGAGGAAGCAACCAATGATGCTGATACGAAGAACAATGATAATGAATCTGAAGAAGCTGAGGTGGAGCCAAAGGAAATCAGATTTTATGCCGACACGCATAATAGAAAAAATGGGACTTGGATCGATGAGCAACCTCAAAAAAACTATGTAAGTGAACACAATCGGTTGTGTTTCTTCCTTTCTTTAATTAGGGCCTGGTTCTAGTACTTGGATGTGTGACATATGGTCTGATTGTAACTAAGTTAGTCATTTAAGTGAATAAACTTGGTTGTTAGCAAACCTAGATATTACTTGGATGTAAGCGGACCTAGCAAGTACTCTGACTCCACTGTTGTGTTCATTGGAGGAAATGAAAAGAATCCATGCTGAAGCAGTGGCAGAAGGGAAAAGATTATTCGGTCCTGAGATTGTTCTTAAAGTGCTGGAAAAAGCACCCAGCTATACCAGAAAAGGCAACTCGAGTTCCCAAAGAGAGAAAGACCTGGAGGCACGACTGGAGGAGACATTTGCTGAAGGGGAGAGGCAGAGGAAAGAATTTGAGGACCAAATTCATGCACAACAGGAGCAGATAGAAAACCAGCAACATGAGATACACAGTCAGAAAGATATTATCAAAGGGTTGCAAGCATCACAGGAGACCCTAACTAAATATGTCGAGGCACTAGCTGCACAAATTGATGGAAGACAAGTTTAGCTAAAGGTAAAATTCTATTTCATAAGTTGTACTTATATTGTCATTGGTGTTACTGCTCAATTGAATTTCATTAAATAAGTTTTACTTAAACTTTCATCGTTGTATTACGAAGTTACCTAGCTATATGGCACTATGTGTACATTTTGGATGCTCAAGGACCACATCATGAGTATTAGTACCTTTGGAAGGATGTTAGCTTTTTGTTATTTTGGACTCTCTTTTGGAAGTCGAACATATGTAGCTTTGGAAGACTTTGTTTTGGTGTCTGGATGGATGGATCAGTAGGTTTTAGGAACATATTGTAACTAGGAATGATGTCGCTTTTGATTTCGATAATGAATAATGTAGCTTTTGATGCATTTGAATGATGTACATTTTTCTGTATGGTATGAATAACATCAAATTTGGAGAATAGCTTGTCATAATACTGCCTACAGGTTGTCATATATGCATCAGGTTATGACAATCAAGTTTCATCAGAACAAATGTCAGGTGGAGTCTGAATTTGAATATTATGACAATCACATGGTCTTGTCAAAATAGCTTTGCTATGACAAACTATACATGTGTCACAACAACGTAGCAGAAATGGTAATTATCGTGACAAAAATTAATAATATTGTTACGAAGCATTTCTGTATTTTGACAAAACATTTTGTCATAACAGGATGCCTATTATGACAAAATGTGCACAGGGTACCACTGGAACATGTTGTAACAAGAAGCATACTTTTTTTCATAATAGAGCTATTTCGACGAGGTAGATTTGACCAACGATATAACAAATTATTATGACAAAGTCTGAATATGTTTTGACGAATGTCCTTGTCATAATAAACCAGAATTGTTGTAGTGTTTTGTTATCACATCAAATAGGGGCCTACCGAGCTAGGGAAATGATGTATATATTTTATCTACTTCACAAGGATATAGATTGATAAACTTCCACTAGTGAGTCTTCTCACATACTGAGCCACTGCCACTTGGAGGTATCGACTAAAATTTGTTCATGAGTTTATTCATTTGGCGTCGCTTTCTTCGGATATCCATAGGCAGTGAACATTGATAATTGAAGGTAACCTCGTCATCCACTCCCATCGGCGTTGAACCTCTCATACAGTGTCACACTATTCCTCTGTTCCACCAAAACCCAACCCACACCACCGAACAAAACAAAAAAAAAGAGAAAAAGAAAAAACATTTCACAATTCGCATAATTCCCCAACAAATTAGAAAAAATATATATATAGCACAGAATTAAAACGGAGATATACATAATTACTGAACCGACAATCCGACATAGTCAAATTTTAATATCGCCGTTGGGAGGCCGGCCGGCTAGTACGGCGGCACGAAGAGCACGAACCTTGACAATGAAGTGGCCGAGGGAATGGCCGAGCACGGCAGCGATGAAGATCCCGAGATTGAAGGACATGACGGCCAGCATGACCATGTAAGCGACAGCCATCTTAACCGCATAAAAACTGGCCTGAACTGCCGCACCCTTCACCGGGCTGGGCCCGAGCTTAACGGACTGGGCCAGAGACAGGGCCTCAGCTGCGGCGGCCATGAAGAAGACAAAAAGGCAGGCCAGTATGTACATGGGCAGGCTGTGGTTGGGCCAGCCGGAGAAGAGCAGGATCACGTCTTTGCCCCAGAAGAAGCTGGTGTGCATCGTCGGCATGTCGCCCATTCCCCCCATGCTCATGTTGCTGTAGTCCCCGCCGGCCGGCGACATAGTCCCTGGGCCCATGGGCATACCCACTCTGTGACTTTTTTCCTTGAAAGATGGAAATTGGAAAGAAAGGAGAAAAGGGTATTGGATTTGGAAGGAAGGAAGGAATGTAGGAGGGTTGTTTATTATCTAGGAAGCAGTATGTTTATTAGCATAATGTGATTGGGAGGTGGGTTTAAATTAGGAGAGGTGGGGTCTGTGAAGACAATAACGATGACAGCATAGTGCATTGTTTAGTTCACAATTAGGTTGTCTTTTTGTGTTTGAAGGCAATTACCACGGTCTCTGCCTTGCCTTGATGCTGAGACGAAAAAGGTAGGAGAAAATTAATGATCAACTTAATATGCTGACTGATCTATCAAACTTAACGATGATGCTATTAGAAAGCTGTTCTTGGAAAGATGGGGTGGTGGGAATGGAGATTGTGTAAGCAAGCCAAATAATTGCCGGGGGTGTTTCCGAGGAAAGTGAAATGCTAAAACAGGTATCGGTTACGGTGGTTCTTGTTTGATTACGTTGTTTGATTACGATGTGAAGACGACTTCTTCTTTAATGATTGGATTATAACTTCTCATATAAAAATTAGACATTTTCAAATTATTAGATTCATCTAATATTAATTAATATATAAAAGTCTAGGTTTGAGTTACTATTTATTAGTGTCTCTCACACGCGTCCAGGTGCAAGTGGGAAAGTTCCAAGTTATTCTTTTACCCCACTCTCTTACTCTATATCCTATATGTGTTCATCTATTGTTTGTTGGGTCTACATCTATTGCAAATTAGTTCTCTAATGTTAGGTTTTTTGTGTATTAATTATTCTTTTACCCCACTCTCTTACTCTATATCCTATATGTGTTCATCTATTGTTTGTTGGGTCTACATCTATTGCAAATTAGTTCTCTAATGTTAGGTTTTTGTGTATTAATTGTCTACTAAGTTATCATCTATTTTGCATTGGTTTCCCTATTGCAAACTACCCATCTCGAAATATATAGACGAAATCATAAGTTGTCCTCTTCCACCTAGGCTTTTATATATTAATTGTCTACTAAGTTTTCATCTATTGTTTATTGGTTTCCATATTGCAGCAATTACCAATCTCGAATAATAATAATAATAATAATAATAATAATATATACAAGCCAAAGTTTGAATTACTATTCATTAGTGGCTCTCACACTCCTCCAAGTGCAAGTGGGTAAATTCCAAGTTATTCTTTTACCCCACTCTTTTACTTTATATCATATGTGTTCATCTATTGTTTGTTGGGTCTACATCTATTGCCAATTAGTTCTCTAATGTTAGGTTTTTGTGTATTTATTGTCTACTAAGTTTTTATCTATTGCCAATTAGTTCTCTAATATTAGGTTTTTGTGTATTAATTGTCTACTAAGTTTTATTATTGTCCTTGTGGCAACATTATACTTATTAGTAAGTATATGTGCATGACAAACAAGTAGAAAAGGATAGTATGTAATTTTGTAGATGATAAAATATCTCAACAAACAAATAATTGTTACACCGTACTCTAATTTTTAAATTTAGGAAGCAAACAAATTAGTTCCCCTCCTCTAGCAGCAGTTGTAGCGGAAAATTAAATACTAGGGTCCTTAGCCATAGATTAGGGGGCCTTTTTTAAATTAATTGATTGATGCGCCAAAACCACACTGCCCAATGGCCATATATTATTGTGAACTAGTCAACTAGTATTACATCTGGAAAGCCCATATTTAACAATTCACACTCAAACAAGCCCATCGCCAGCCGGTCACACTCTCAAATCCCAGACACAGTCGTCTCGTTCGTTTGTGATAATCTTACCGTCTCTTTTTCCATTTTTTTGCGAATATCATCATGGTTTTATTTTTATAGTTTGTCAAATAAAGCAACACACACAGTTAAAAAAAGCATAAGCCGCTGCATCGCCCGCACTCTGTCACGGTAAATCACAATTTATTCAACAACAAGAAAGTTCCCACCACCAAGACAAAACGACCATCAGAAACACTCAACAACAACGATCAATCTCAGCATTTGCCACGCGCTAGATCCGGCTCCCTGTTGTCGGACCTCCTCAAGACCGAGCTTCCAAACAGCACAAACCCGACCGCGTGCCCGAACACCGCCGTCAGGAAAACCCCACCGTTGTAGGACATAACCGCCAGCATGACCATATAAGACAGCCCAGCACGCAATGCGTACATCCCGGTCTTGAAAAACCCGGCGGCGGCCTTGCTCGTACCTGGCTTCACGATGCTGCAGTAGCTCAGCCACTCCACCATCACTGCTATAGCGAACACGAAGATTAGACCCAGGGCGTACATCCCCGGGTTCGGCCCGGGCCAACCGGGGAACAGGAATTCGGTCTTGTGCCCCCACCAGAAGCTCATGTGGGCAAGCGAGTTGCTGTGAGGATGAATTTCGCCGCCACCCTCCGTCGTCGTTGTGCTTCTGTTCCACGCCGACGACAGCGGCGACGATACGGTTGCGTCGTGTTGCGGAATCATCGTCGGATTGCGAGCTGGGCTGGGGTTTTTTTTTCTCTACTAGTGTGCTCTGTTTTCAGTTTTCTATATATAATGAAGGAAAAGGAGATTCCTCTGTAGCAGGGGAAGGAAACCATGAAACGATCATCTGAAAAAGAAAAGAGAAATTTAATTCATCGAAATTGATATTCTTTGGATTTGGATTGTGGGTTTGAGAGAAATATGCAAGGAGTCGGGAAGAAGCAATCTCTATCTGTTTCAGCAGCGGGGAAAAAGAAAAAGAAGCTGACGTACGGCTCCTGCGGTGGATCACATTCATGAAGCTGCCTGCCGGATTTGGTAGGGCCGTGTGGAAAGCTTGCGATGCTAGATTAGGAATTCTGCGGCAGAAGATGCTTGCGTATTTCGATTTGGGCTTCCTTTTTCTTGTGCAAATTTTGATTTTGTTATAGTTGCAGAGACCAAGAGGGAAGAGGCACCTTTCTGTCTGTCTGTCACCTCTCCATCTTTTTTCTTGTTCAAGCTAAGGAACCCGACATTTCTTTGTTATCGCTAATCACAAATTTTATTTCGTAACAATGAAATGAAATCCAGTTTCTTGAAATAAAGATGCTTAATACTCCGGCTTATTTATTTAATTAAAGTAAGAACAAGGAGCTGATCACTGGTTATGTATGCTGGCACACACACGAACACGATTAGAGGGAGGTGTCAATAATAAGGCTGGAGTTGCTTCTTGGGAATGGTGAGGGTAAGCACCCCATTCTCCATCGCAGCAGCCATGTGGTGGGGATCGGAATTCTCCGGCAGCGTGAGACGCTGAAGAACCCGGCCGCTGCTACGCGCCACGCGGTACCAACCATCCGCCTTCTCCTCCGTCTCAACCTTCTTCTCGCAGGTGAGGCGGAGCGCGTGGCCGTGACCTTCTTCTTCCTCTTCCACCTCCAGCCGCACTTCGTCCTTCCTGAACCCGGGCAGATGGGCTTTCAACACGTGTGCGTGCGGTGTCTCGTGCCAGTCCATTCTGGTATTGGCCGCCCCCAGAGGATTCGCGGCGGCCAATTCGTGGCTTGCGAAAAGACCCCCCGGCGGCGGAGGCGGTGTCATCATGATATTGATTCGGTTGTCGAACAGGGAAGCAAATGGGTCGTGATGGATGATGTCTTGGGAATGGTGAAAATTGTTGTTGTGACGGTGGGCATGGTGGTGGCGTTGTTGGTGTGGCTTGCTGTGAAACATGGACAGTTTTTGTATGTTGTTTCTTTATTATCTCTGGTCTGTATCGTAATGGGAGATGAAGAACTCGGTGATTTGTTGTTGGAATTTATAGGGGCGTGAAAATGGTGGAAGCTGGAAAACATGTGCTGCTGGGAAATTCCATGAATTGATAGGTGAGGGGAAAAGGAAGAGTGCATCCTATTCTCGGGAATTGGTGGTCCTTGTCAGAATAATTACAACGTAATTGGTAGATAGCTAGTGATTCATAGCTCGTGATTCTCCACTACTCGTTGGGCGCAAAATTCCCATTGGAGCCGACGCGTTTGCGCTGTGGCAAAAGCAGCTGTGTAATTATTCTGGCAACACTTGTAGATTGATGTAGACTAGGCTGGGACTGGGATGACTTAGATAAGCTAGCTAGCTAGCTCAAGGATCTCTGGCAGTGGCAGGCCATCCCTTAGAATGTGTTAGCCGCAGCTTGAAGGCCAAGTCAAGATTCAAATGTCAAAAATCACAGCTGGAAATGTGTTGGCTGCCCAAAGCAATTAAGGAAGGTATTCAGGCCAAAAGGAGAAAGAACAAAAGCTTAACTTTTGTGAAGATTTCGAATCAGCAAGAATATTGAGGAGCAACGGCTACATTACAGCCTATAAAAGACGATTTGAAGTAAGAGCAGCTGCAACCTTTTCAAAGTGATCAACAAAGCTAGCTAAGATAAAATGGGATTTTGTGAGAGTAGCAAGGTTGATAGAAAAGGGGGTTTCTCAAAGGGTTCGGGGAGAATTGCTTTGAGGGTTAGTGTTGGGGAAACACTGTTACGAGTTGCTGGGGAAGCAATTCGGGGTTTGAGAAAAGAGTGTTTGATCAATCGGATTGAGATTGATCAAAGGGTTCTCGGGTAGAAAGTGCTAGAACGAACTTCATCGAAATATCTTTAGTGAATCGTCGGAGATCACTCAATTATGAGTCTCCGACCGTGGAGTAGTCAGTATTGGGATCCTCATTCTCCCAATACTAGAAACCACGTAAAACTCGCGTGCTGAGTTCCTATTTTGCTTTCAATTTTCCAGTCTGTGTGTGCCTCTGCTTGTATTCTGTTCCAGGTTTAACTTTGCAGGGGAACTCGATTCAAGAGCTGCCAGGGAAGGCGACGTGCCTGGTCAGGGTTGAGGAACTCACTGAACCTGGGTTTGGCATAACTTAGTTCATTATTGCCTGGGTTTATACTGCAGAGTCTGTCGAGTTCTTCCCCAGTTCTTGAATCGATTATTAACAGGGGTTGGTTTGATTTAGAATTCACAGGCGGGAAAGGGGAGTGAGTTGGAATTGAAACTATACCGTTTTGACAATCCCTTATAAGCTGGATTGAGTTGTGTAGGCTATTGTACTGGGCCTTCGGTGGTGTCCTTTTGTCGACCCAAAAGCTTAGAATTCAAGTGAGCGGGCTTAGAAGTCCATTCAGCCTAGATAAAAGGTTTACCTATTTGGTTTCCAACTAACTGGCCTAGGAAGACTTAAACGTTAATTCACTTACCCAAGCTGTTGATTAGTGAGTAGAGATTAGCTAATAAACTTAATAGGTCAAGGTCTCTGCTATTAGTCACTCTAGGTTGATATTTCGTTTAGTAAGTAAATCAATTCTGTTTTATTTCTATTATTTCATGTGTGTCAATTCTCGTCATTAAGTTTAATCTGTGGGTAAGTTTTTGAAAGACAGGTATAAAGTCTCGCGCTCGACGCAACCAACAGAATGTGTTTGCCAACTCATTGGGGGATACTCCAGGTGAAAGTTTCATAGAATTACTTAAAGCTCACTGAAAAACTTTGTAATAACATCCAGTTGGTAAAAGATTGATGACATTTCAGTCCAATTATGAAGGCTGTAGAAGTGTAATATTGTTCTACACGTCGTCGTTTGTAGCTGCTGTCCACAGCTGTCGTATTGTCCAAGTTTCAGTCAGTTCTCCTTGTCTTGGTTGGAACCCTTGGCCGAATTGTTCTAGGTTTTGGCCGCCTAGTGTCTTGTATAAAAGGGCTTAGCTGCAGGCTCATTGTAAGCAGCAAGTTGGTCAGTTTATTACGTCAATAATAAATTGTCGTCAGTCGAGAGCTCGGTTGAGCTCTCCGTGGATTAGTCATGTTCACACCGAACAGGGATACCACGTAAATCGTTGTGTTCTGCGTTATTGTTCTTCCGCATTATCGTTTTCTACATGGTATCAGAGCTAGTGTTCTGATCAGCGCCACTAGCTCTCGTTAGTCGTTCGTTTTCTCGTCTCAAGTTGAGATCATGGCGGGTGACTCTGGTACGAAGGAGGAAGGGAAGAAGCCCTTAATTCCGTATGAAGAAATCGGCCCGATGTCGCCACTGTTCTTGCATCCGTCCGATGCACCAAGTCAAGTGTTCGTTGGAGAGTTACTCACGGACATGAATTATGGAGAGTGATCTGCAGAGATGTCCAATGCCTTAATTGCGAAAAATAAATTAGGGTTTGTGCTTGGTCGGGTCCCGAAGCCCGAAGGCGGTGATCGCCTAGAGGTATGGGTTAGCTGTAACGCGATGGTGGTTGGATGGCTATGTCAAGCCATGTCAAAGGAGATTAGAAGCAGTATTAGTACAAGCTTCACGGCAAAGGAAATCTGGGACGAGCTGTTGGAGCAGTTCAGTACAGGTAGTCTACCTCGTAGGTATAAAATCCGACGTCAGATTACTGCTCTGCGACATGATCGGTCAAGTGTGTCCAGCTTCTATGCTAAACTCAAGAAATTGTGGGATGATTGGTTAATGCTTGATCCTCCGGCTAAATGTACGTGTGGTAACTGTACTTGAAACGTCGAGCAACGCACGCGGGAGTCAAACGAGTCTATGAGGCTGCTGGACTTTCTCGTAGGGCTCGACGATAGCTTCGCCACCGTGCAAACTCACTTGCTGTCTCTGAAGCCTCCTCCACGTCTAGGGGAAGCTTACCATGATGTTGCTAATGAAGAGCAACAACGAACCATCACCCATGATCAACGTCCGAAGGTCGAGGCGGCGGCATTCCAAGGACAGGGGGAGCGCCTTTCCCTTGATGATCGTGCGCAAGATCAGCGTCCGAAGTGTACTCACTGCGGAAAATTGGGTCATCTCAAATCGTCTTGTTATGACATTATTTGGTGGCCGCCGAGGTCAAGTGAGAAGGATGAGCGACCAAGGCGCCGATCACAGTCCAGGCAGCCCCGTAACGGGCCTCAAGCGGTGGCTGTTGAGTCCTCAGAGCTCTGCATACCGGGACAAACTGCGGAGCAAGTAGCTCAACTAAAGGCCTTTCTTAACTCTCAATCAAAGACGGACGCTGCTCCTGCGCAACAACAGCCTAAAGCGAACCTGTCAGGTACTCTTTTCTCTTATTTATCCTCTGCATGGGTTATAGATTCTGGATGTAATGAGCATATTGCAAAGGATAATTTGTTGTTTGATGGCGAGTTGGATACCAACTTGGCTTTACAGGTCCGGATTCCCAATGGCAAGGGAATCCCAGTTAAAGGAATATTGGTTTCCAAGCTAATGAATGGATTAACCCTACGTCATGTCTTGCATGTCCCTGAATTCCAGTGCAATCTCTTGTCAGTCAGTCGTCTCACGGCAGATCACCCCGTTGCAGTGATTTTTCTTAGTAACTTCTGTGTGATACATGACTTAAACTCCAGAGAGATTATTGGGATGGGTAAGCATGTTGATGGGCTTTACTACCTGCGGGTTTTTGTGAAGGGACATCCAGTAGCATTCTCGGCGAAGCAGGCAGTGAAGGACTCTCAGTTGTGGCATTTGAGACTTGGTCACCCCTCAACAGCGAAGTTAATGGCTCTACAGCCTCGTATTTCCAGTACTTTTGTCGATAGTAAAGAGCCATGTTTATCTTGTTTGCGAGCCAAACAGACAAGACTTCCTTTTGTTCCCAGTTCGATTAAGACAACGACATGTTTTGAACTTATTCACGTTGATATTTTGGGGTGGTTATGATCAAGCTTCATTTTCTGGAGCACATTATTTTCTCACTGTCGTGGATGATTTTAGTCGAACAGTCTGGGTGTATTTGTTGAAACAGAAGAGTGAGGTTGCTCGGTATTTGCTACTCTTTTGCAATCAAGCTCGCACACAATATGGAGGGCAAGTTAAGGGCATCCAGAGTGATAATGGTCGTGAGTTCAATAAACAAGAATTGCGCGACTACTATGAAAAGGAGGGTATTGTTTTACAGACTTCATGCACTCATACTCCTCAACAAAATGGTGTCGTCGAGCGCAAGCACCGCCATTTGTTGGATACTGCGAGAGCATTTCAGTTTCAGGCGGGACTGCCTCTTCACTTCTGGGGAGAGTGTGTTCTCACAGCTGCCTATCTCATCAACAGAATGCCTCTCACTTCTATCAACAACAAAACCCCATTCTAGGTCTTACTTGGTCGTCTTCCTAACTACGAGCATCTTCGAACGTTTGGTTGTCTAGTCTATGCAAAGGATACCAGTCCATATCTCTCCAAGTTTGCAGCCCGTGGAAGACCGGGCATTTTTGTTGGCTATCCTGCTCAGCAACGTGGTTACAGAGTATACGACATTGATCGTCGTACCATATATACATCTCGTGATGTTTTCTTTTTTGGAGGATGTGTTTCCCTTCCAAAGTATTACTACTGTCCCTAGTGCAAAACCACTTCACAGCTCCCACTCGTGGCTTCATGATGATGATTATGATGAGCATCCTGATGATGCTACTCTCTTCAATATGGTTCAAGATGTAGCAGCCTCCCTTGATGACCCCAATTTCCAAGAGGGCAACGACTCTTGTGACTCTACACCGCTCGAGCCAGGTGAAAGTTCACCCATGTCGCCCGAGACGACCAGTCCCTCTTCATAGTCCTCTCCCGCGAGTTCGGCCAGTCCAGCCGCTCAGTCCTCGCCCGAGAGTCCTCCAACGTTGCCCGATTCTCCTCCAGTGGCAGTTATCGCAGAGCCACCTCGTCCTAGCAAACGTCAAGTTCATCGGCCAATTCACCTAGCTGATTATGATTGCGAGCTCCCGGATTGTCGTCCTGATGCTAGTTCTGTCTTATATCCATTAAGCAATCATGTCACCTATGATCGAATTTATTCGGAACACAAAGCTTATGTGGCAAACATCTCCGCCACGTATGAGCCTAAGTCTTTCCGAGAGGCCCTAAAGTACCCTCATTGGCGAGCTGCGACGTGCGCCGAGATTGCCACACTGGAAGCAAATGGTACTTGGTCATTGGTTATGCCACCTCATGGCAAGTGTATTGTTGACTGTAAATGGGTTTTCAAGGTCAATTTCAAACCGGATGGGTCAGTCGAGCGTTATAAAGCTCGTCTCGTTGCCAAAGGTTTCACTCAGGTTGAAGGCATCGACTATCATGACACTTATGCTCCTGTCACAAAGGTAGTTTGATCGCTCTTGCAGTCAGTCAGAACTGGTTTCTCCATCAGCTTGATGTCAATAATGCGTTTTTGCATGGGGATCTCCAGGAAGAAGTTTACATGAGAGTTCCGCAAGGTTTTGCCGCACCTAGTGATTCTCGGGTTTGTCGTCTTCATAAATCCATCTATGGTCTTCGACAGGCATCTAGAAACTGTTATCATAAGTTTTCTCGTGCCCTGTTGGCTTTCGAATTCAAACAGAGTGGCGCCGACAATTCACTATTTATTCATCGGAAAGGTGCGAGTTTTGTTGCTGCTTTAATCTATGTTGACGATGTTATTCTTGCTGGGAATGATGCTGAGTTCATTCAACGTGTCAAGGATTATCTTCATGACCAGTTTACTATCAAGGACTTAGGGCCTTTGAAATATTTCCTTGGCATTGAGGTTGCACGCTCTCGCAAGGGCATAGTATTAAACCAGCGTAAGTACGTGCTGGATATCCTAGCAGATTGTGGCCTGGAGGCCACTCGGCCGTGTGCCTCACCTATCGAACAAGGCCATCAAACAGGTCGTCTGCCCTCTGATCCGGCCCCAGAACCTTCTAGCTATCGGCGTCTTGTTGGTCGGCTCTTGTACCTGACAGTTACTCGTCCTGACATTCAGTATGTCGTGAACATTCTGAATCAGGCAGTGCATGCTCCTACCCAAGCTCATGTGCAGGCCGTTGTTCGAGTTCTCCGGTATCTTAAACAGTCTCCGGGGCGTGGTTTGTTCTTCCCAGCAGGTGAGTCTTTGTCCCTCACCGCTTATTGCGATGCTGACTGAGCTGGTTGTCCCAACACCCGTCGCTCCACAACTAGCTATTTTATTCGGCTTGGTGGTGCCCCCGTCTTCTGGCGTACCAAGAAACAGTCAGTTGTTGCACGTTCTTCTGCTGAAGCTGAGTATCGTGCCATGGCTGTCACTGTCAGTGAGCTCATTTGGTTGCGGTGACTTTTGGCCGAACTTGGTCATCCCTTGCGTGCTCCTACCCCTCTCTTCTGTGATAATCAAGCTGCCTTACACATCACTATTAACCCTGTTTTCCATGAACGCACCAAGCATGTTGAAATGAACTGTTATTTTGTTCGGGAACGAGTTCTTGCTGGCGATATTCTTCCCTCCAAGATCGCAACGACCGAGCAACCTGCAGACATTTTCACTACAGGTTTGAGTGCTGATCGATTTCAGGAACTTCTTGTCAAGCTCGGCATGCTTGACATTCACGCCTTCGCTTGAGGGGGAGTGTAGAAGTGTAGTATTGTTCTACACGTCGTCGTTTGTAGCTGCTGTCCACAGCTGTCTTATTGTCCAAGTTTCAGTCGGTTCTCCTTGTCTTGGTTGGAACCCTTGGCCGAATTGTTCTAGGTTTTGGCCGCCTAGTGTCTTGCATAAAAGGGCTTAGCTGCAGGTTCATTGTAAGCAGCAAGTCGGTCAATTTATTACGTCAATATAAATTGTCGTCAGTCGAGAGCTCGGTTGAGCTCTCCGTGGATTAGTCATGTTCACACCGAACAGGGATACCACGTAAATCGTTGTGTTCTGCGTTATTGTTCTTCGGCATTATCGTTTTCTACAAAGGCACCTTTGCTTCTAGTTTGGTCAAAATTTATATTGCTTCTCCTAATACATACGGAAATCATTTCTTTGCAGGTGATAAGTATCGCGACATCTCCGTCACTTCTCTATTGGATGTTTCTCTTCCTTATGCTGAGATATGCCACAACGGTGAAGTCTGTGTGGCGAAGGCTGTTGAATACTTGTGCCCAGGTTGGAGATCCATCTGCTTATGTCACCCCCGATGTGGTAAGTTCCATGGAAGTTTGTCATTTAAGAACTTGCAAAAGCGTGTGGGTGAAAATTGCTGAACCAATTGCCCGGAGAATGCCAGGTAATTGATCTTCAGGACGTTTCATTTTGCTCATTATCAAGTAGTAGAGTTCTTTGTACTGGAGCTAAACCCTCGACCACATTGGGACCTGAAATTCTCATGCGTTTGATTCCCAGGGTACTCGCCAATTTACAACACATAAAATTTCTGTCATAGAATTGAATATCTGGGTTCGTTTAACATGTGATTTTTTTTCTTTCTTTCTCTGGTCTGTTTTCTCGTAGGATTGTGGATGGAAAGCATGGGGGGAGATATCCTATGGGGGATACAAGTGTGTGGAACGTGCTAAAGCTGCTGAGCATCTGGTGAGGACGCTCTATAAGAACCAATGACGTCATCCAATATAACCAGCCTGCTAGTTGATCTTCCTCTTGAATAGTTGTTCAACCTTGTGAAGTGTTCTTCATTTATTATCAGTTTGCTGCTGTTAGAAACTAATTATTTCTTTCCGTAATACTATTTCAAATCTAATGAAAACGAACGGTCTTAAAAGCAGCACGCAAACATTATATTCTCTACTCTTAGCCTCCCCACTTAATAGTAAAAATATACAAATGGACATGCATTACCGTTAATGTGATCAATGTGATCACGGATAACAATTCACCACATGTTTAGCATCATATTTCACAAAAGACAGGATCTCGTCAAGGATTTGTGTTGGCTAAAACGACATCGCGTCAGTTCTATTAAAACGGTGTCACTTCAGTACCAAGGAACAAAGGCGTTTCGGATGATATTTCGTCCTTCGCAGTTGTCGTCTCCATCTCGAGCCTTTCATTCTGCATCCTTGAACTCTTATCCCGAAAGCTCTGAGAACAATTCTTCCAAAGCACCACCGACTCTATTCAGCATGTAATGATGATCGCTACCAGGAGTGCTTCATAGTAAACGGCTCTTTCAGGGATCTCCTATATATAACGAGTGAGTTCTTCGTTTGTAAGTAGCGGTTGGTAGTAAGAGTGATTGGCATTTTGCTTTGTCTATCATGGGCTGTTTTGGGTACCATCTTCAGTAGATAGATCACAGGAGTTGAGAACTGGGTGATCTTGTCTTGGGAAGTTGGGATTGAGTGTCTTTTCGTGTTATCAAAGTGCCAAGTCTCTTGGCTTGGCTAGGGATCAATTTCGATCGATTGTAATTTTGTTTCAAGTTCAATAAAATTATTTCGTTTTCATACTCACTCAGAGCTTACAATTGGTATCAGATCAGGCTCTTTGAAGGACTAATCGTCGCCAAAGAGAAGATCACGAGATGTTTGGATCATCCTCAAGTGCAGTAGCCTATTCGGAAAATACAAACCCACCATGGTTTGATGGAACAGACTACACAGTCTGGAAGAAGAGGATGCGAATTTACCTCCGTGGAGTTGACGGAGAATTATGGGCTGTTTTCAGAAAGGGATCAGTCCCCATGAAAGATGAAGATGAAGAAGATTGGAAGGAAGACCAGAAGATTTCCTTACAGCTCGATTCGAGAGCCATGCACATCCTATTCTCAGCATTATGCCCTGAGGAAAGAAGCCAAGTGGCTCAATGTGAATCAGCAAAAGAGATTTGGGAGTCTCTTCAGACTACCCATGAAGTACGTCTGAGGTCAAGGAGAGTAGGATAGATGTCTTATTAAATGAGTATGAATCGTTTCAAATGAGCTCCGGTGAGTCTATATCAAGTATGTATAAACGGTTTAATGATCTGATAAATAGACTAAAAGGGTTAGGTAAAACCTTTGAAACCAAAGATCTAGTTAGAAAAATTTTAAGATGTCTACCTAGAGAATGGTTACCTAAACGGACTGCAATAGAAGAAGCCAAAGACCTGAATGTTCTATCTATTGAAAGGTTAGTTGGGTCATTGCTTAGTCATGAGGAAGTAATCATTCAAATGAATAAAGACGATCATAGAAGAAGAAAAGTCATTGCCTTTAAAGCTCAGGAATGTGACAGTGACTCTGATCTAGACATGGGGGAAGAATTTGAGAAAGAATTCGCCTTGGTAAGTAGAAAGTTTCATCGAATGCTCAAAATGAAAAAGGAGTTTCAGGCAAAAAGAGCATATCAGGATCCTAGAAATCTTAATAATAATCAGTTTATCTGGGTACAGAAGAGAAAGAGAAGGATCTGATAGAAACAATGCTAAGACATATGAAAGATACAACTCAAATCGATCATATTTTGAGAAAAACCCACCGAAAATGCATGATACATTCTCTAAAGGTCGTGAAAGGTATAAAGTTGATAAGGAAGACAATAAGTCTTCCATTGAGAAAGATTTGACGATTTGTTTTAAGTGTGGAAAGCCAGGGCATATGCGTTCAAGATGTCCTTTGAGTTCCAAAGCCAAAGAAAAAGCTCTAGCTGCTTCCTGGAGTGATTTCAGCTCAGATGAAGAACCAGAAGGCAAGAACTTGGCATATATGGTCTATGCTACAAAGAGTGAAAGTGATGGACAGTCCACAACCAGTAATGAGCATCAATTGCCTTCATGTTATCAGTTAATTACTGACTCTGACTCAGAACAGGATAGTAAACCTAAAGCAAAAGTTGATTTTTTGCATGCTCTAACGAATCTTCAGGAAGAGTGCAATAGACTCAAAAGCAAATATTGCTTACTAATGACTGATAACAAGTCTCTAAAAGATGAAATTGAAAAATTAAACAGATCATTAACTATCCAAAATGAATGGAACAAAAATTTAAACACAGAAGTCTTTAATCTTAAAAATGAGAATCAAAGGTTAAAAGACTTGTGTAAAACTAAGAATATTCAAAATAAAAGTCACCAAGGTGAAAGTATGAATAAAAGATGGTCATCTTCAAGATTACCTAATAAGAGTTACAAGAATCAGTATCTGGACAGAAAGTATGAGAAATATTCTGTTGTTTTTACATGTTCTTATTGCAAAAGAAAAGGGCATTTAGCAAGATTTTGCTATGATTTAGAAAAAATAAGAAGACCTGCCATCACTAAAACATTTTGGGTTCCAAAATGTGCCAATCTCTGATTGACTGCAGAGTTCGGGAGAAAATGAGAACATCTGGTTTCTGGACAGTGGTTGCTCCCACCACATGACAGGTAAAAAGAAATTATTTTCTTCTTTAAGTTATAAAAAGGGTGGTAAAGTGGTATTTGGAGATGATCGTGTAGGAATCATCATGGGAAGTGGAATAATTGGTAAAAGTCCGCTTCCGACTATAAAAAATGTGTTGTTTGTAAAAGGATTAAAACATAATCTTCTTTCGATAAGTCAACTGTGCAACTCTGAGAACATAGTAGTATTTGAATCAACATCATGTGAAATCATCAGAATAAAAGACAATAAATTATTATTCTGTGAAACTAAGAAAAATAATATGTATGTGGTAGATCTAAATTGTTTCAACACTTTTAATGAGACTTGCTTTCATGCTAAAACTCATGATCTGGAAATGTTATGGCACAGAAAACTTGGTCATATAAGTTTATCTAAGCTGTCGAATCTATCAAAAATGAAGTCTGCACGAGGAATACCTCTGCTAAAAGAAGTACCTAAGTTTTGTTGTGACGCTTGTGTTGGTGGAAAAATGGTCAAGAAAAGTTTTAAATCAAAAAGAGATATAACCACCACTGAACCCTATGAGCTAATACACATGGATTTATTTGGACCAACTAATGTAATGAGTCTGGGGGGAAATCCTATGCTTTTGTACTTGTTGATGATTTTTCTAGATATACTTGGGTATACCTTCTAGCATCCAAAGATAAAGCCTTTGTGTATTTTAAGAATTTTGTCCATCATATTCTGACTGAACAAAAGAATGGTATAAAAGCCATTCGTAGTGATAATGGAGGTGAGTTTATATCTGACCAGTTTGGTGACATCTGTAATGATAAAGGCATCACTCACACTTTTTCTGCTCCACGAACACCACACCAAAATGGTGTTGTGGAAAGGAAAAACAGAACCATGATAGAAACCGCTGAAAGCACTGACAAAGTCTTTGTAGAAAATATAGAACTTTTGTTTCCTATGTTGAATGAAAAGGGGAGCACCGAGGAGCACCAAAGAGATTTGACCCAAAAAGACAATAAGAAAGACAAAAGTGAATCAAGTGACGAGTTAAGCAAGGAAGAAGAAAGAAAGGAGGCTCCGCCACACGTTCAAAAATGACATCCACCCTCACAAATCATTGGTGAGCTAAACGAAGGTATTCATACTAGAGGAAAATACCAACCAGGTCAGTATGCTCTTATCTCTCTTTTAGAACCCAAGAACTATAAAGAAGCTTTACTTGATGATGAATGGTTGAATGCTATGCAAGAAGAATTACTTCAGTTTGCTAGGCTACATGTTTGGGAACTTGTCCCTCGCCCCTTAGATTGCTTAATCATAGGAACAAAATGGGTTTTCAGAAATAAAACAGATGAAGAAGGACAAGTAATTAAAAATAAGGCAAGACTTGTGGCACAAGGATATTTACAAGAAGAGGGAATTGATTTTGAAGAATCCTTTGCACAAGTTGCAATAGAATCAATTAGAATGTTGTGTGCATATGCATGCTATATGAAAATTCCTCTATACCAAATGGACGTAAAAAGTGCATTTTTAAATGGTAAAATAAAAGAGGAAGTATATGTAAGTCAACCACCAGGTTTTGTTGATCATAATCATCAAGACCACGTGTACAAGCTGTCTAAAGCGTTATATCGGTTAAAACAGGCCCCTATGGCTTGGTATGATAAACTATCCACCTTTTTGAAAAATGAAGGTTTTTCCCAAGAGAACGTTGATACAACATTGTTCATCCAGAAAGAAAACTCAGAAACATTGATTGTGCAAATATATGTCGATGACATAGTATTTGGATCAACAAATCCTAAAATGTGCACTAAATTTTGTCAAATCATGAAGTCAGAATTCAAAATGAGTATGATGGGAGAACTATCACACTTCCTAGGATTACAAATTAAGCAAACCAAATCAGGAATATTTATAAATCAATCAAATTACACTAAAGCAATGCTTAAGAAATTCTACATGAATTTTGTGAATGAAAGTCCAACACCTATGGCTGTAAATCTAAAACTTGACAAAGACGAAGGAGGAAAAGCATTTTGTGAGAAAAAATACAGAGGGATGATCGGATCTCTCCTCTATTTAACAGCCAGTAGACCTGATATTCAATTTAGTGTAGGATTGTGTGCAAGATTCCAATCAAGTCCAAAAGAAAGTCATTTAAAGCTGTCAAACGAATTTTCAGATATCTAAAAGGAACAATCAATGTAGGGCTTTGGTATCCAATTTCTGATTCATTTGAACTAGTTGACTATAGTGATTCAGACTTTGGAGGAAG